ACCTGCCGTCTATCCTAACATCTCTACTTAAACTGAACTTCTGAGTGCCTTGGAGGGTGAGCGGTCTTCAAATCATGCTAGGTCAGCTGTAACAGTGAATAACAGTCAGTGATTCACGCAGGAGCAGAGAATCAGTAACGGTCGGTGTATGAGTCATTACTGACACTACTGGTAACTGGTACTGCTGAGGGACAGTGACCAAGGAGAGGGACAGTGACCAGGGTGAGGGATAGTGACTAGGGTGAAGGACAGTGACCAGAGTGAGGGACAGTGACCTAGGTGAGGGACAATGACCTAGGTGAGGGACAGTGACCAGGGTGAGGGACAGTGACCAGGGTGAGGGATAGTGACCTAGGTGAGGGACAGTGACCAAGGTGAGAGACAGTGACCAGGGTGAGGAACAGTAACCAGGGTTAGGGACGGTGAACATGGTGTCAGTAACCAGGGTGAGGGACAGTAACCATCACCTTACAAACCTCTATATCACAACTGCTCCAATAATTACATAGATAACTCTGTAAAGGACCATTCGGACCATCCTGGGCCACTGTCAAGGTCACAGTATAACAACGATCCAGGATGTACCGAACACGTCTTTTAAATATTGATCTCTAATTTGAAGTGTTGCAGCCACTTCCCTGCCACTTTCATCCTTCTTGAAACGTTCATTTTGACCGTCAACACACATTCACATGTGTCTTGCCTCGGCTAACATTACACGCCTCTTTTCCACCAACAAAACACGCTCTCAAGTAGTTACTTAACAGATGACGAATAGTAATTTTTAGGCTGCCACAACTCGCCTGTTTCGTGTGTAATGATTTCGTTTCTTTCGTGTAATATATAATGTACATTATGTATAAGTCTTACTTTATCTAACATACACCTTACATTATTTATACAAACATACATATATATGTATGTATGAAAACACCCGAACACTTTCATGTATTTACGTACATATCTTCAGAAGATGTGTATAAGCACATGAAATCTCTCAGGTTTTTCCTTATTCTCAATGTGGTATTTTTATGTATTTGGAATCACGCGTTTATTGTGATGTCTTCTATATATACATATATATGATCTCGTAAATCTGTGCTGGTTCAGACTGTGATGGTCATGTGTTTCATAGTTTGTAATATAGCGTCTTATCAACCTTTCGAAGACTTAGGTTGAGCGATGTTAGTGCTACTAGTGATCTGTAATGTTTTGTCAGTGCTCTGCTGCCTCCTTTATGTAATTGTACTGTTTAAGACCTTCAGGATTTCACCTATATCTAAGCTCTTTTTGCAAAGAGTACTTGAGTGTTAGTGTTAGTGGTATGATGCGCTTCTTTGTAAATACCTGCTCCACCCGGTTGGTAAGGCACTCGACTCATACATTGAGGTTCCTGCTTCGATCCTCGGTAAGGGTGTAAACATTGGGCATGTTTCCTTAAGACATCTGCTGTCCATGTTCACCTAGCAGTAAATAGGTACTTCGGTGTTAGCCGACTTGTGTGGGTCGCATCCTGGGGACAAAGTTAACTTAGCTAAGTTGCCCAAAATACTCTGCATAAGCAATGATGTCAGCTAGGTCTGTATACCTTGTATCATGAGCTTGTATAAAAATTTATTATTATTATTATTATTATTATTATTATTATTAATCCGGCTCTGGGTGTTGCATGTGCGGCAATGTTTTGTATTTTTATTTTCGAATTCTACGGGCTTAGTGCTTATGTCAAATAAATGATTTATAGCGCAGATAGAGGTAATACAAAAAAAAACTCTTGTTTTTTTGTTCGTTTCGTGGACTGCTGGACGTTGATTCATACCCGTCTTTTAAAATTCCGCCAGTTTTTCATTTCACCTCCATTATCGTGAAGTAAAACTCAGAGAGAAGCAAAGAATTACACGACAGTACTAAGACTTTCTCGCTGCGCTCTAAATGTTGTCGTCTGATACAACCATCTACGTACCAGGTTGTACCTGGAGTTTACCTGGAGAGAGTTCCGGGGGTCAACGCCCCCGCGGCCCGGTCTGTGACCAGGCCTCCTGGTGGATCAGAGCCTGATCAACCAGGCTGTTACTGCTGGCTGCACGCAAACCAACGTACGAGCCACAGCCCGGCTGATCAGGAACTGACTTTAGGTGCTTGTCCAGTGCCAGCTTGAAGACTGCCAGGGGTCTGTTGGTAATCCCCCTTATGTATGCTGGGAGGCAGTTGAACAGTCTCGGGCCCCTGACACTTATTGTATGGTCTCTTAACGTGCTAGTGACAGCCCTGCTTTTCATTTGGGGGATGGTGCATCGTCTGCCAAGTCTTTTGCTTTCGTAGTGAGTGATTTTCGTGTGCAAGTTCGGTACTAGTCCCTCTAGGATTTTCCAGGTGTATATAATCATGTATCTCTCCCGCCTGCGTTCCAGGGAATACAGGTTTAGGAACCTCAAGCGCTCCAAGTAATTGAGGTGTTTTATCTCCGTTATGCGCGCCGTGAAGGTTCTCTGTACATTTTCTAGGTCAGCAATTTCACCTGCCTTGAAAGGTGCTGTTAGTGTGCAGCAATATTCCAGCCTAGATAGAACAAGTGACCTGAAGAGTGTCATCATGGGCTTGGCATCCCTCGTTTTGAAGGTTCTCATTATCCATCCTGTCATTTTTCTAGCAGATGCGATCGATACAATGTTATGGTCCTTGAAGGTGAGATCCTCTGACATGATCACTCCCAGGTCTTTGACGTTGGTGTTTCGCTCTATTTTGTGGCCAGAATTTGTTTTGTACTATAATGAAGATTTAATTTCCTCGTGTTTACCATATCTGAGTAATTGAAATTTCTCATCGTTGAACTTCATATTGTTTTCTGCAGACCACTGAAAGATTTGGTTGATGTCCGCCTGGAGCCTTGCAGTGTCTGCAATGGAAGACACTGTCATGCAGATTCGGGTGTCATCTGCAAAGGAAGACACGGTGCTGTGGCTGACATCCTTGTCTATGTCAGATATGAGGATGAGGAACAAGATGGGAGCCAGTACTGTGCCTTGTGGAACAGAGCTTTTCACCGTGCCTGCCTCGGACTTTACTCTGTACCAGTCATATATTTGGTATATAAAAAAAAACATGAACATGGGTATAGTTATAACCCTAATTTTTTAAAGGGGTGGACCGGTAAGCCAGAAGAAGGCCTCGGTTAGATGACGAAAAGCTCCAGCGGTGGGTCATCATGTGACTAAGATCTGTGACGGGAAACTCTTGTCCAGTTTCCTGACTAACCTTACCTAACCTAAGGTATACGCGAGTCATTTGTGTAATGGCTAAGTGATGGGGGTGGACAGTTTTGTCTCTGGTTAGGGTTCCCATTCGTCCCGGTCTTAGGGATGGTGTCCCACCAAATTCGGTTCGGGACGCCGAATGTGTCTCGCCTTCTTTTTGTAAAAATAAAAAATGTGCTTTAATCGAGTGTCTAGTTGGAGTAGTAATCTCATTCTTATTACTTTTTTTTTTGCATCTGTATATAAAATTCTGTCATCTGTGTTGTCTCATTGATGTGATAAGAAATTATTCATTTTAATTGAGTGACGGACCTCCCAAATAAATTTGATTAGGTATCCAGGGTCTTTTTTATTTGAAAAAGAAAATGGTATCCCTTCCCTCTGAGGACACCACCACCACAAACACTGGTGGGCTCATCATGAACGTGTGTTGGGTCCGTGGTTAGAAGTGATGGTATACCTGGAGAGGGTTTAGGGGGTCAACGCCCCCGCGGCCCGGTCTGCGACCAGGCCTCGCGGTGGATCAGGGCCTGATCAACCATGCTGTTATTGCTGGCTGCAAGGTAGCAAGAAATACAAAGTAATATTGTTATGGAGGAGATATATTGAAGTACGTGTCAGAGCCCGTCTGCCTGTCCTCTTGGTGTAGTGGAGAGTGAGGGAGAGGCCTCCCAGGAACGGCCTACCTGCAGGGTACAAACGGAGGTCACCTGACTTAAGGTTTGGCCAGGGAATCTGCCTATAAAATGGTGGTGGTGAACGTTAATGAACATGGTAATAACTTAATGGTTATAATCATAACCATGACTTTTAAAGAGGTGGACCGGTAAGCCAGCGGAAATCCTCTGTCAGATGATCACAAGCTCCAGCTGTGGGTCATATGACTAACACCCGCGTCAGGATACACTTGTCCTGTTTCCTGACAAACATTACACCTACCTGGCTAATAAACAGATCGTTGTGGAAAAAAGACAGTAACTTGCAGTTCAAGACATATTAGAGGAAACGTTTCGCTCCGACCGACTTCTTCAATCCTAAAGTGGATGTGACTTGGCCCTGCATCGCACGGGCCAGTAGGCCTGCTGTAGTGTTCCTTCTGGAACACCACTCGTGGCTACAAGTTTATTCTAATGTCCTGAACTGTACGTGTCTTTTTCCACACCTCGTCGGCATAACCATACCATGTTTTTAGCAGCTCGTTGCGTATTCAATGCACTTGACGTAGTGATAGGCTAAACAAATGTAAATAGTAGTTCTGGCTTCCAAAAGAAAGATATTGCCTATTTACCGCCACATTACAGAGAAGCTTTGTCTGGTTGGTGTACAGAGGCTCGTACATTGTTTACATTGAAATTACACGTGAACACCTGCTGACGTTCAAACTAAAAGTTCGTGATTATTCTGGATGTACTAAAAGAAATGACTGGTTTCAGGAGCATATGAGGCGCACTTAAGGTGAGTACCAGCCCCTTGTGTGGTAGGTACCAGACCTTGAAGCAGGTATCAGACCTTGAAGAGGCAGGTACCAGACCTTGAAGAGGCAACTACCAGACCTTGAAGAGGCAGGTATCAAACCTTCACGAGGCAGGTACCAGACCTTCACCAGGCAAGTACCAGATCTTCAAGAGGCAGGTACCAGACCTTCACCAGGCAGGTACCAGACTTCCTCTCACCAGGCGGGGTTTCTCCCTCCCTCCAAGTCTCACTTCCCAACTCATTGCTACACTCACTGCTCAGCTCACTAACCTGAAACTGCTGCACGGGATAAGCTCCCACCATCGACGCTGGCTGCTGCAGCTGTGGCATCTGTCCCGTGGGCAGCTGGGGTTGTGGTACGCCTTGCCAAGTGGGCACGCCAGCCATCCCCGCCATTCTGTAATAAGAGCTTCAGTAACTAGTTGGTCCACTTGGTAATAACATAACTACCAATAAATAGCGGACTAGCCAGTCCGTAACACAGTGTAATGCTAACACCCAACAATAGTACATAAGAATATAAGTACGGAGGAACACTGCAGGAGGCTTACTGACCCATACTTGGCAGGTCTTTCTCAAACATACTTCATCATAGGCAGATTTTGACGAAAGAGGAAATGTTCCCCCCTCTCCTACTCTCCCCCCTCCCATCATTTATTCTAAGGGCGGATGCTGGGCTCCTGGGCAAGCACCTTGCTAGGCGAGTGGCACACCTTCAGGAGGAGTGTCGCACCTCACTCCCCCTGACACTAGTCACATCAATAAACAACAAAAAGGGCACAATACCGTGACTGGAACGATACACAAATAACCCGCACATATAAGAGAGGAGCTTACGACGACGTTTCGGTCCGACTTGGATAATTTTTTTTCCTCTGTGTTCTTGCTCTTACCCTCTGTGGGCACCTAGCTCCCTTGTGGGCACCTAGCTCCTTTGTGGGCACCTAGCTCCCTTGTGGGCACCTAGCACCCTTGCAGTGCTGCTCTTTGTATTTGACTGGCTTCTCCTCCTTACTACCTCCCCCACTACTACTACTATTACCACCTTCTACCCCCACTACTACTACTACCACTTCCTGCCTATATATATATCCCTCCCTCTCTCCCTATCTCCTTTCCGTTCGTTCGTTTCCGTTAGTGTGACTTTGTAAATGGTGTAAGTCGGACCGAAACGTCGTCGTAAGCTCCTCTCTTCTATATGCGGGTTATTTGTGTACTAGTCACATCACCGACGCGGTAAGGTGACACAGGGTGGAGGCCAGCGTGGAGGCCAGTGTGGAGGCCAGCGTGGAGGCCAGCGTTGGAGATAACAAGCAGTCAATACACTATAAAGTCTCATCCAGAATACAACTTCTGGAGGTTTAATGAGTTTTGGGTAAAGCTGTAATTTTTATTTTGATTAGTCTTTGAATGTAAAGCGAAATTTTAATAAATGTCACAAGAACGAATTAAAAAATTTCTTAGAAATTCGATGAGTGACCTTAATCTAATAGGTTGTCAGGGTTGCAACGTTCACCTGTCTGTCTTGCCTGCAACACCGCAAAACAATTTTAACACAGTAACAGCGCAAATGTTAAAACGAGATATTAACAGAAAATTAGCAATGTTAAACCAAGAGGAAATGTAAACTGACTAAGAATAATCTGTGAAGTCGAAAATCAAATTTTTACTCCGATGGAAAAAGTAGGAAAATATTAAAATTCCTAGAGAAAATTATTACGTCCTCCCATGAAGGTAAATTTTATGTGTGCACATATAATGTGTGCACATGTGTGCACATATAATGTGTGCACATATAATGTGTGCACATATAATGTGTGCACATATATGTGCACATATAATGTGTGCACATATGTGTGCACATACAATGTGTGCACATATGTGTGCACATATATTTGCACATACAATGTGTGCACATGTGTGCACATATAATGTGTGCACATATCATGAGAAATTGTGAAAGAAGAGAGGAACTACAGAAATACATGACACCACAACCACAGTTGTTGACCCCAGTAGCCACCACAGTTGTTGACATCAGCAGCTACCACAGTTGTTGACCCCAGTAGCCACCACATTTGTTGACATCAGCAGCTACCACAGTTGTTGACCCCAGTAGCCACCACAGTTGTTGACATCAGCAGCTACCACAGTTGTTGACCCAGTAGCCACCACAGTTGTTGACATCAGCAGCTACCACAGTTGTTGACCCCAGTAGCCACCACAGATGTTGACATCAGCAGCTACCACAGATGTTGACCCCAGTAGCCACCACAGTTGTTGACATCAGCAGCTACCACAGTTGTTGACCCCAGTAGCCACCACAGTTGTTGACATCAGCAGCTACCACAGTTGTTGACCCCAGTAGCCACCACAGTTGTTGACATCAGCAGCTACCACAGTTGTTGACCCCAGTAGCCACCACAGTTGTTGACATCAGCAGCTACCACAGTTGTTGACCCCAGTAGCCACCACAGTTGTTGACAGCAGCTACCACAGTTGTTGACCCCAGTAGCCACCACAGTTGTTGACATCAGCAGTTACCACAGTTGTTGACCCCAGTAGCCACCACAGGTGTTGACATCAGCAGCTACCACAGTTGTTGACCCCAGTAGCCACCACAGTTGTTGACATCAGCAGCTACCACAGTTGCTGACCCCAGTAGCCACCACAGTTGTTGACATCAGCAGCTACCACAGTTGTTGACCCCAGTAGCCACCACAGTTGTTGACCTCAGCAGCGACCACAGTTGACCCCAGTAGCCACCACAGCTGTTGACCCCAGCAGCCACCACAGCTGTTGACCCCAGCAGCCACCACAGCTGACCCCAGCGGCCACCACAGCTGTTGACCCCAGTAGCCACCACAGCTGTTGACCCCAGTAGCCACCATAGCTGTTGACCCCAGTAGCCACCACAGCTGTTGACCCCAGTAGCCACCACAGCTGTTGACCCCAGTAGCCACCACAGTTGTTGACCCCAGTAGCCAACACAGTTGTTGACTCCAGCAGCCACCACAGCTGTTGACCCCAGTAGCCACCACAGCTGTTGACCCCAGTAGCCACCACAGTTGTTGACCCCAGTAGCCACCACAGGTGTTGACCCCAGCAGCTACCACAGTTGTTGAAATCAGCAGCCACCACAGTCGTTGACCCCAGCAGCCACCACAGTTGTTGACCCAAGCAGCTACCACAGTTGTTGACCTCAGCAGCCACCACAGTCGTTGACCCCAGCAGCCACCAGTTACTAACCTCAGCAGCCACCACAGTTGTTGACCCCAGCAGCCACCACAGTTGACCCCAGCAGCCACCACAGTTGACCCCAGCAGCCACCACAGTCGTTGACCCCAGCAGCCACCACAGTCGTTGACCCCAGTAGTCACCACAGTTGACCCTAGTAGCCACCACAGTTGTTGACCCCAGCAGCCACCACAGTTGACCCCAGCAGCCATCACAGTTGTTGACCCCACCAGCCATCACAGTTGACCCCAGCAGCCACCACAGCTGTTGACCCCAGCAGCCACCACAGTTGTTGACCCCAGCAGCTACCACAGTTGTTGACCCCAGCAGCCACCACAGTTGACCCCAGCAGCCTCCACAGTTGACCTCAGCAGCCACCACAGTTGACCGCAGCAGCCACCACAGTTGTTGACCCAAGCAGCCACCACAGTTGTTGATCCCAGCAGCCACCACAGTTGTTGATCCCAGCAGCCACCACAGTTTTTGACCCCAGCAGCCACCACAGTTTTTGACCCCAGCAGCCACCACAGTTCTTGACCCCAGCAGCCACTACAGTTGTTGACTCCAGCAGCCACCACAGTTGTTGAACCCAGTAGCCACCACAGTTGACCCCAGCAGCCACCACAGTTGACCCCAGCAGCTACCACAGTTGTTGACCTCAGCAGCCACCACATTCGTTGACCCCAGCAGCCACCACAGTTGTTGACCCCAGCAGCCACCACAGTTGTTGACCCCAGCAGCTACCACAGTTGTTGACCTCAGCAGCCACCACAGTTGTTGACCCCAGCAGCCACCACAGTTGTTGACCCCAGCAGCCACCACAGTCGTTGACCCCAGCAGCTACCACAGTTGTTGACCTCAGCAGCCACCACAGTTGTTGACCCCAGCAGCCACCACAGTTGTTGACCCCAGCAGCCACCACAGTTGTTGACCCCAGCAGCCATCACAGTTGTTGACCCCAGGAGCCACAACAGTTTTGGACCCTAGCAGCCACCACAGTTGTTGACCCCAGCAGCCACCACAGTTGTTGACCCCAGCAGCCACCACAGTTCTTGGCCCCAGCAGCCATCACAGTTCTTGGCCCCAAAAGCAACCACAGTTCTTGACCCCAGCAGCAACCACAGTTCTTGGCCCGAGCAGCAACCACAGTTCTTGACCCCAGCAGCAAACACAGTTCTTGGCCCCAGCAGCAACCACAGTTCTTGGCCCCAGCAGCAACCACAGTTCTTGGCCGCAGCCACAACCACAGTTCTTGACCCCAGCAGCCACCACAGTTCTTGGCCCCAGCAGCCACCACAGTTCTTGGCCCCAGCAGCAACCACAGTTCTTGACCCGAGCAGCAACCACAGTTCTTGGCCCCAGCAGCAACCACAGTTCTTGGCCCCAGCAGCAACCACAGTTCTTGACCCCAGCAGCCATCACAGTTCTTGGCCCCAGCAGCCATCACAGTTCTTGACCCCACCAGCAACCACAGTTCTTGGCCCCAGCAGCCATCACAGTTCTTGGCCCCAGCAGCCATCACAGTTCTTGGCCCCAGGAGCCACCACAGTTCTTGACCCCAGCAGCCACTACAGTTCTTGACCCCAGCAGCCACTACAGTTGTTGACTCCAGCAGCCACCACAGTTGACCCCAGTAGCCACCACAGTTGACCCCAGCAGCCACCACAGTTGTTGACCCCAGCAGCTACCACAGTTGTTGACCTCAGCAGCCACCACAGTCGTTGACCCCAGCAGCCACCACAGTTATTGACCCCAGCAGCCACCACAGTTGTTGACCCCAGCAGCTACCACAGTTGTTGACCTAAGCAGCCACCACAGTTGTTGACCCCAGCTGCCACCACAGTCGTTGACCCCAGCAGCCACCAGAGTTGACCCCAGCAGCCATCACATTTGCTGACCCCAGGAGCCACCACAGTTTTTGACCCCAGCAGCCACCACAGTTGTTGACCCCAGCAGCCACCACAGTTGTTGACCCAAGCAGCCACCACAGTTCTTGGCCCCAGCAGCCACCACAGTTCTTGACCACAGCAGCCACCACAGTTCTTGATCCCAGCATCCACCACAGTTCTTGGCCCCAGCAGCCACCACAGTTCTTGGCCCCAGCAGCCACCACAGTTCTTGGCCCCAGCAGCAACCACAGTTGACCCCAGCAGCCACCAC